TACACACAGTTGTCTGAGCCGTTCAATGTAACTAAAGCAGAATTTTTTATTTTTTGCAAATGCTCATACTCTGTACTTATATTTACGATAACACCGCTGTATACACGAGTACACTAGCCAACAGCAATTCATGTTAATGACATGACTTGAGGCTGCTTTCACATTGATCCATTTTTCTTTCACTTACGCAAAAAAAGTGGAATAAAAACGTGTGACTACATATCTACATATGCAGATATACTGCTACAGGGCGGCAGGGGTGTGCAAAATTACTTATATATATATATATATACGTGATTTGGCATTTGCGGCCTCGGTTGTCAATCACCGGGTCCCAGCCAGTGATTACTCGCCGGCACCCAGTGATCAAGAAGCATTACCGCATTACCAACAGATGGAGAGAACTGTAAGTAAACAATACAGATCTCTCCCCTGTCAGCTCCTGCACACTGCTATGCATGGCTTTACATAGCAGAGCCATACAAAGCAGTGTGCTTACAATGAAACGCACACACAGCACAGAGTAAAACAGTACACAGCACACAGTTAACCATTTGATTGCCCCAGATGTTAACCCCTTCCTGCCCAGTGTCAGTACAGTGTCAGTGCTTTTTATTAGCACTGATCACTGTATTGGTGTCACTGGGGATGTCAGTGACACCAAGTCAGTTCCCCCCCAGTAAAAGAATGCCCACTGCAGTCCTGCTATAAGTCGCTGATCGCCGCCATTACTAATTTACATGCATTGGGATTTTTTTTCTAGCAAAGACATGTAGCGGAATACATTTTGGCCTAAATTTATGATGAAATTAGATTTTTCAATTTTTTTTTTACTGGACATGTTTAATAGCAAAAAGTCAAAAATATTGTTTTTTTTTTCTCAAAATTGTCGGTCTATTTTTTTTTTTTTTTTATAGCGCAAACAATTAAAAATGCATAGGAGATCAAAGCTATTAGTGGGAAAAAAAGGTCCTCACTTTCATTTTGGGTGCAGCTTTGCATAACCGCGCAATTGTCAGTTAAAGTAACGCAGTGCCGTAACACAAAAAATGGCCTGGTCAGGGAGGGGGGTAAATCCTCTGGAGGGCAAGAAAACACACTGCAAATCCGATAAATACACCAGAATGCTGTGAACTTGGTAAAAATGCGTTTGCGTTTTTGCTGTGGATCAGTGTGAAAGTAGCTTTATGCACAACCTTGGTTATACAGAGGAAATATGACTTCAGTTACATTGAATGGGCTCAGGCAACCCATGTGCAAGAGTCTCTAAGCAGGAAAACGTTCACAGATGACCCATAACTTTACATTATTTCCTTCCTCAGCTCCAGTAGCATCACCGAAAAAGGTTTGTCAAAAAAGTTTATATTGTTATAAAAAAAGGGGCATATGTTGTGGCCAATGCTAGTTGTAGATACATTGTTTAAGGGTCCTGATTTATCACACCCAAGGTAAAAAGATGGTGTATGCAAGTGAACAGCAATAAAAGATGTTAAACAGACATAGGAAGTTCTAAAATACCAGCAATCAAACCTGCAAAATATAAATTTCTGCAGTTTACATGAATGAACATAATAACACTGTGTTGCAAAGTACAAACCATCTGGCAACAATGCAGAGAAAGGGGCTGGTTAATGTTTCTGATGAGTCAAAGAAGGGTGCTACATCCTACAGATTGAAGGCGTAAAAACAGGAAAAGTCTGCATTTTAGGGTTGAGTTGACATTATTATTTGACATGGCATTGTTATTTGTATAATCATAGGCCCACAACACTGCTCAACCCTCCACCGCCCTCCCTGATGAAGTGCTTAGCTTCCTGGTAGGCCTCAGGTATTTCATTGTGTTTGCCACTACCAAGAAGTGGAAAAATAGCATGGAAGGCTCTGGATGTAAATCTGTAATAATCTGAAATAAAGTGGAGGTCAGTGATATCTGCTAACAGTTAAAGGGGTTGCAAACCTCTGACATGAAATTTGAACAAAGGCTATCCTTTTATAGTGTGTCTCAATCCACATTACTAAGTGTCATTCTTTTTACTGCTTGTTCCTTTGCTATCTGCATGAGTCACTTCTGACAAGTTTTCCTGACACCAAGAAAAAAAGTAACAGGCCAAAGAACACCAGCACACAACTTAAGATTGACAGCCTCAGCTCTGTTCCTGTGTGCTGTGTGAAGGGTGTTTGTCCCTTCCTTCCAATCAGCTCTCACTGAGCTCTGCAGTGTGCAACTTCATCTCTTGCCCCCTACTTTCTGAAAGCTCAGACAAGCTGTATAACTGCTGAACTTTGAACAGCTGTAGAGAATAGAAGACTGCAGATAAACAGATACAACTTATGTAAGAGCATTTGTTTAATCTCTGTATCACCTGAGGCTAGTTACTTCACTGGATATATATGTTTATAACCACTTAACTCTCTTGCTACCCACAGTAGAAGTGATTTTGACAGGTACCCACTGCTCAAAGGTGCCAATCCTTAACGGGGAGTGGGGGACGAGGCCTTAAAGTGGAACTACTCCTTTTGGGTGGAGCTCTGCTTTAAAGGGATGCTGGAAGAGTTGAATGCTCTTAGATTAGAGTCTTGCTACCTGTTTAGTTCCCCCTTCCCCACAAAAAATCAAATGAGAAGAATATCATCTTTTGATTTATAGTGATAGAACTGAGCTAGACATTTGGATCCACAAGATACTCCTTTCTGAAGTGAGGCTATTTATTAGCAATAGACATCAACTGATACAGTATTTCCCAAAGTTAAGTCTTAAATGTACACACATGGAATACAAAAAAAACTACAGCAATAGAAAAAAACTACCCTGGCTTTACACCTATTTCTGCTTTTCAGCAACACACATGTTTTACCGTCTGTTGTAACAATGGTTGCTGGTGCATGGTGGTGCCATTTGAAAAATATTCTAGGATAGATTCTAAAAGAGAATCCTTACTGGGAAGCAGTTTTAATGGTACAATAAATTAGAGGTATCTTCCCAATAAAGATGAGCAAATTGGCCAAGGTTCAATTTACTGAGGATCTGTCAAATCCCATTTAAAAATTTCCAAACCCAAACTTAAGCCAGCCATACATGGATCAGAATTCAGCCGGTTCAGCAGGCAAAAAGGCACAATGAAAGTCTTGCCTTTAATTCCACTTTGACAAAAAAATATTTCCTCTCTCCTAATCTATGCTTCAGCAATTCAGCCCATGCAGTATCCAAATGAAGCTCTTTTTACCTTCTGATACACAAGCATGGTGGAGAACAATTTGTTTTAAAAAATGTATTACAAAAATGTATTAATCTTTTCTGCATTCATCTGCGAGGAAATGCAATGCTTATTCGTTGTCACGTTAGCATTTACAGTGCCCCATGTACATCACTAAAATTTTTTTTGTTACATTGAATACATCGAATATGCCAACATGCTGAAATAGGGATGGGTTGATAGATTGTTTCTTTTTCTTTTTATTAAAAGACCCTCAAGCGGCATCTGAGCAGAGTACATCTTTCATGCTGGTGAAAGATGCTGCACGTTGTTAATAAAGAAGAATCACGCTGGCCCCATCACACGAAGCTTATAAAACACTGCAAAAATACAGTAAGACAGACCCAGAGAAAATGCGCGTTAAATGGACTAAAAGTGATGAACTTTATTATCAGATGCTGTGCAAAATCATCTGTCTGCCTTTAAAGCGGTATTAAATCCCAAAAACAAAAATGTACTATATTGCAGCTTGCCAGTCCTTAGATATGGCAGCTTTAGTTTGCTTTTTTTAGACTTTACCCTTTATTTTCACTTAGTGATCCTGACAGTAAATCTGTTATTTTTCAACTTCCTTCAACCACTTCACTTTTACCCCCTTCCTGCCCAGGTCAATTTTTAGCTTTTAGAGCTGACACACTTTGAATGAAAATGATGTGGTCATGCAGCACTGTACCCATATGAACTTTTTATAATTATTTTCACACAAATAGAGCTTTCTTTTGCTGATATTTAACCTCCCTGATGGTCTAACTAGACAATATTTTTGAATGTCAAAGCGGTGCATTGTTTTGCATGGAAATTTGTTGTTTTATATTGTAGGCCTGTAATTCTTAGGAATAACTCACTTAAATCTGTCCAAGCAAGAGTCTAGTAAAACATCCCGGGTATGATAAAGTTTGAGACACAAAATCATAAAATTATAATATAATAAATAATTATAAAAAATAATAAGATAATAATAATACATTTAATTCAATAATGTAATCAAACCAAAAACACTAAAATTTGAAATAGGGCACCAAGTTCACACATCACTGAGCTCAGTCGCAGAATCGTTTTCAGTGTCTGATGACAAATTTCCCCACGAATCATTATCACTCAATTCTGCAAGTGATTCTAATTCACTGTCACTGTTTTCTAGCTGGTCTAAAACCGCTTTTGACCTAAAGGGATGCTTTTGGATGCCATGGATGTTTCTCAGTTTCCAGGCAGAAAGAACAGAAACAGTGCAGGCAGGGCACTGGACAAAGCACTAGGGACAAAATGTATGTGAAATGGTTTAATACAGTGATGTAATACTAACAGATTACAGTGTATTGTGTGTATGTCAAATTTTACTTTTTTTAGAGGATTAATTCCTTAAGTTCCACAATGAGTATAACCAGCACGCTTTACTGCATATAAAGACTGATTTTATTGTTGTGGGTTTAGTAACACTTTAAGGATTGGTAATCAGATATATATTTTGGTTTTGGCCTCTTTCACATGGATTTTTCGATTGGCTTGTCTCTTCATTTTTCAGGCAGATCAGATCAGAACCCCTATTCTCCTCTATAGAGCGGCAGGCGTAAACAGACTTGCTTGTTTTCACCAACCTACATCCAATCCAATTCGCCAAAAAAGAGATGGATGGAGATCGTTTGGCAGTGGATTAGACCGGACGGCAGTCAGGCATACACAGACATGCTGTCCATTTACATCCGACCGCCCATAGAGGAGTGTGGTCTGTGTTCGTGTTCGCTCTACATAAGCGGGTAGTAGTAATGTGCAGGGGTGGACTGACAACTCATGGGGCCCCGGGCAATAGGGAATCATGGGGACCCTGTGTCCTTGCCTAAACGCAAAAAAGCCTATGAAAAAGGTACCAAGGGCATCTCATGGGGCCCCCTACTGACCCCAGGCCCTCGGGCAGTGCCCTGAGTTTCCAAATGGTCAGTCCGCCCCTGGTAATGTGGCAAAAATATGTGTAAACGCGGTACCGTGTTTAGCCAAGATTACCTTTGTTTAGCTGAGTTTAGTGCTTGGAAGTTTATTCATCTCATTGGCCAGAGTACTTGCCATGGAAATGAGTAAACGCCCAAGCATTAAACGCAGTTAGCACTTGGACGAATTTACACCCGTTTGCATGCATTTTTGCTATGTTTTAGCGGTTTTTGGCTATAATGTTCCACTGCCCCTAAACTGCCCCTAAATGCTGCTGCTGCTACACGCTGATAAGAGCACGCTGATAAGAGCCTATGAAGTTTATTTACTAAAGCTGGTTCACGCAGAATCTGGTGCAGCTGTGCATGGTAGCCAATGAGCTTCTAACTTCAGCTTGTTCAAATAAGCTTTAGCAATAAAACCTAAAAGCTGATTGGTTTCTATGCAGAAGTGCACGATATTCTGAGTGAATCAGCTTTAGTAAATAAACTCCTATGTGTACATGGACACATGGGCTTTTATCGAGAGTTGAGTTCAGGGGCTTTGGCAAATAAAAGCTCCTAATATGCATGAGGCCTTACCTATCCCTAATTAGTCAGTGTAAGGAAATGATTATGGTTTAACCACTTACCTACCGGTTCAATTCTGACATTTCTCTACTACATGTAAAAATAAGCATTTTTTTTTTTTTGCTCGAAAACTACTTAGAACCCCCAAACATATATCTTTTAAGCAGAGGCCCTAGAGAATAAAATGGTGGTTGTTGCACTTTTTTATGTCACACAGCATTTGCTCAGTGGTTTTTCAAAAGCAATTTTTTTTTAGAATACACTTTAATTAATTTTAATGCACAAAAACCCAATATAATACTCAATTGTTTAGCAAGATATAAAAGATGACGTAAAACCAGACATGAAACCAGAAGTGACAAAATAATCATCGCTTCCAGTTTCTTAGATCATAAAGAGGTTTGGGGATGTTCTGGTCCTCAATCATCTCTTTTGTCAGCCAGCGGAATCACAGGCTGCAAATTCAGGGAGAGCCTGAGCAGGTGGCAGAAGGAGGGGAGGGCCATTCCGCCACCAGTAAAAGCAATCCAGTGGCTATTTAGCTGCTCAGATTGCTTTTACAGGTTTCAGCATTGCCGGCTGAAAACACATGATGCTGTGTTCATGGTTGCAGTTGCAGCCATTAACTTGGTATTCCCACTTCCATGAGAGGACTTATGGGTATACGTCTAAAGGCATATGCCATTTTTCTGACCATATTTCATCTTAATCCATTTTTAAGGTGGAATTTCCTGACTCTCCACCCTCAAACCAACCCTTTTTCACTTACCTGAACGACAGGGTACTTTTTCCATGCAGTGTATTGTTTTTCTTTTTTTTTTTTTTTTTAATTTAGCAGTTGTCAGTTGGCTGTGCATAGCCACACTGACACATCATCCATTGACAGAGATCTGTCATCATGACAGTGGGATTCACAGATTACAATGGAGTGACATCACAGATTACAAATGGAGTGATATCACTGCACTTGTAATCTATTGTTTCCTTCCTCCAGCCCCATAACAGAAGGTCTGTACCTCTGTATACACCTGGGATTTAAGCAATGCAGGGACAATGCAGTATGTATTGTATCTGTGATATATAATACACATTTAATTAATGCACATTTTTTTACATTTTAATAACATGAGTTCACTTACTAAGTTTTTGCAAAAAAGAGAACTAGGCCTTTAAAGCAAAATCAGTACAAACGTAGCAGCCTGTAAATTCTTTCTTGAAAAAGATATGAAATGCATAGATGTTATGTAAAGACTATTTAAAAAGCATATTTTACGCTGGTAATGTCAGGAAAATACAGTTTTTAGTCTAACTTGCACTGAAGAAACTGATGTTTATCATACTAGGAATATATATAAACTTTTTATAAGTTTCATGATTCCCATGAGACTTGTTTTCACAGAACTTCAAGAATATATAAATAAAGGCTTGCAACCTGCTATACAGTATATTCATTTACCGAAGAAGAGTGTTCATTGTAATATAACAATAAGATATTAAAGTGGAGCTCCACCCAAAAGGGGAAGTTCTGCATTAAGGACTGCTCCCCCGCTCCCCATTAAGGATTGGCACCTTTGGGGGACGGGGGGGCGGGTAGGGGTAGGTGCAATCGGAAGGCAATCGGAAGCGGAAGGTGTCCTCCCTCCCTCCTCCCCTGTAGTTTTTGGGACATGTGACAGGTCCCAGAAGACTGCAGGACCATTCATGAAACGCAGCGCTAGTCGCTCATGCGCAGTGGGTACCCGGCTGTGAAGCCACAAGCTGTCACAGCCAGGTGCCCACATTAAAGGTTCCGGCCTCCTGAAATACAGGACAGTCGGTGAAACAAGCTGTGGGGGACACACCACGGGTCTGAGGGACAGGTAAGTGGCTGTTTTTTAAAAGTCAGCAGCTACAGTTTTTGTAACTGCTGACTTTCATTTTTTGACAGGGTGAGTGGAACTTTAAGAGCTGATTCACACATGTGCAGTGTGGATTGAAGCTCAGGTTTCACAGCTAATTGATACAGTAGTTGTTTACCAGTTCAGTTTAGGTTTACATCAGGTTCAGGACCGGATTAGCTCTCAGGATTATCCTGTTCACACAAATTCGGTTTAGAAATGGTTCCCACAGAAGCCAATAGCCTGTAATCCACACCTGAATTGGACCGCACTGCTCAGAAATTGGACAGCACTCTTTTTCAATCCACACTACCAGTGCAATGGACATAGGTGGAACGAGCACAATAGGAAGCAATGTTATTTCACATGTCATGCGGATTGGATGCAGTTCAAACCGCATCCAATCCACATATATGTGAAGCGGTACTACAACAAACAGTCACTGCGCAATTAGTGTTTCAACAATTCTCCAGACAAAAATCAAACTAATTGATTGCTGTTATCATTGAAATGTATTCTCACACCCATGCAAATTAATCAAAAATAAAAATGCAGAACCTGCTATTAAATGTACAGTCAAACACATGTGAAAATAGTGCAATAACCAGCAGCAAGTAGTTGCCGTATAGCAGAAACTGGACAAGGCATGCATTAATTGGCGAGGATCATTTGTTGGCTGGGTGGTACTGACATATCAAATATATATATATATATATATATATATATACACTTATTTTTCCAGTACATATATTGTTGTAATAGACTAATAGTGGTGTGACCCTCTTCAATATTATGTTCCTAAATGTACACCAAAATAAAAGGTAAGTAAAAAAAATAGACTCCAAAAGAGGTTACATAAAGCAGTGCCACAGTAGTCGCAAGTCACTAATAAGGGTGACACTCCCCTGCTTCCATAAATTTGGGTAGTACCAAATTTTCAAAGTGATATGAATAATGGTGGAAACCTCGCCCACACTATTCTTTATGTCCACTCTCCCAAGTATTGAAAATACAAAAATAAAATGCAAATGACAGTCCACAATACAGGTCCTTGTAACACTGTTCCTGTTCGTAACCACACGCTCTCCTCCACCAATTGCACAAATTGCTATCCTTGACAATATGACCTACATACTGTATATGGCAACAAACACTTTCCCTTCAAATAGGGTATTTTTCTCCAACCCAGGCTTTACTCCAGATGCATCAAGATGGGATTCACCTATGACTATATCAAGTTTTCCCAGATGTTATGCTCCATTAGCACTTGATGGATTAGAAGTACAGTATATTGTTGTACTGGTTGATAAAGGGGGGCACTCTTTGGTTTTTGCCTCCACCACTGTTAATTTTTATCAGTTATCGATTTAGGTTTTAGTCAGAGTCTTTTGTCTAAAATGCTATTTTAGTTTTAATAATATTTTAGTCATCTGAATTGTTTTAGTTTTAGTCAACTAAAATCTAATGGGTTTATTTAAATTGTACTGCATTATTTAAGCATTTCTCTAGAATTTCCAAATTCCTGGAGTAAAAATCTAGTAAGTTATTATTTATGGTATTAAGGTTTTTGTACATGCACTACAGACACAGATTTAACCCTTGTGTTAAAAAAAGGTCTTTATAAATAAAACCAAGTTTTTTTACAACAAAAAAAAAACGGTGAAACAGTCTGAGTTGTCACCAGATCAGGAAGGAATAGAGAGGAAATCTTCCTATCCAGACGGTCAGTCCTTTGACAACTGCCTAAGTGGCGATTTCCTTTACTTTGGAGAGATTTCCTCTTATTTCCTGTTCTATCTTCAGGACAGAAAGTGAAGGGACAATCTCCCCAATTTGATGGCAAAAAAATACCTGACATGGGTTTTAAAGGATAAGTTCACCTTAAATAAAAATAAATAAATAAATAAATAAATGCACATTTTTTTTGCAGGTATATAAAAAAAATTGCATTTCTTTTTTTTCTTGGGAGCCAATAAAGCATTGGACCTGTGATCAGTAGATCATGAGTGCAATATCAGACTCTTCCAGACTGTACCACCTGTACCTTCAATATAGGCAGGCAGTTACTGAAGTCCAGGAAGCTCAATGGACTACAAAAGCACTCATCAGAAACCCCTGCAGTTCATTGAGAACTACAAGTTGTCAGATGGTGGATGCTCAACATGTTACATGTTACAACCTAAATACAGGTGTTACATGTTGAGACAGGTAAAGTTATCCTTTAAAGAGAACATGCCACAAGGGGACACTTGATCCAGTGCCAGCTGTCTCATTGCGGATAAATTTCCTCTCACTTGAGTGTTGAGTTTAAGCATTCCCTTCTTTTCCCAAAACTAACAAAGAATGTTATGACCTTACATACTTTAAAACAAACTAAACACCGGGTGAAGGCACAACTCTAACTCTCGTTTTTTCTTTGTATTTTATGCATAGAGTAGTGAAGGGTTAGTCAGGTTTGTATTGCTCTCTATGGTTGACCAAGGCAGGAGAAATGCAGAAGGGGTGTTCTAACCTTTCCCCACTTTACAAAAGTGTTTTGATTACTCACCACGTCTGGTTTCTCTGATACCATGAGTAA